TCAGAGCCTCCCCGCTGGAGAGTCGAGCTGATAAGAGACCCATCCCGTGAAAGTCCTGCTTTGGATTATACAGGGGCATTATTTGATACCACTGCAGGAACTGAAGTGTGCAGTGATGCAGAAGGCATGGAAAATCACTTCTCTGTATTTATGGAGTATGTGAGTTTATTGATGATTAAGTCAGGAAAAGGGTTTATTCTGCCTGGTAGAATATTTGTAAATATTCAAAACTAGTCACTTCTGGACTGCCAGGTAATCTTAGCAGGTATTGTGGAAAATATGAGGCTGTTGTTCACGGATGAGTTATCACCTCTATGTGGTATAATGAGACATTTAATGAAATAGCCAAAAAATATATATGGGAAAAAAAAAAATCAAATTCCAACCTCAAACCATGTCGCTTCTTCCACAGAAGGAAATGGTGGGGGTGAGCAGGGCTGGTGGAGCTTGATTGCAGCAAGGCTGCTGTGAAGATCTTCTGTAAACCAACCAGGGGGACTTCAAGGAGGGTCACAGGCAGAGTGGAGGTCACCTAGTCCAAAGAAGTGAAGAGCAGAGGAAACCTGATAAATATCTGCACGAATTTAGGTACATAAACTTTGCTTCATAGCCACTGCAAGTAGTACAGGGTGTAACCAGCCCAAGTTACAGCAAGGCAGATCCAGCCTGGCTACCAGTAAACTCTAATTTTAAGGCTGGTTAACCACGGGTATAAACTGCCCCGGGAGGCCGTGGGATTGCAGGTTTTTAAGAGCAGGCTGCACAAGCATCTGTCAGAAATTGTCCAAGGGCAGTCGATGCTGCCCTGGGGCACGGGAGCGGGCCGGCGGGCCTCCCTGCGGCCCACCGAGCCTGTTTCGCCTGGCTGCCGTGGCAGCGCTCGGCATGGCGGCCTCGTCCCGGTGGCGGGGACGGGACGTGCCCCAGGTCTGCCGTTCCTTGGCCAGGGAGGTGTTGGCGTGGGAGCCGGGCTGGGCCTCACCACGGTGCTCCAGACCTTTGAGCAATGAGCGTGCGATATACCCAAGCACCCGGGGACTGGGTGTAACAGCTTCACCCTCTCCAGCCTTCCCATCCCTCAAAAAATATTTTTCAGCCTCTTTGCTTCTGCTGCAGCTGCCATCGGCTTGTTTCTGGGTGATTCCTGCTCTCCTCTCACAGCCTCACAGGGAGCAGAAATGAGGATTAGGGTAGACACCAGAAGACGGTCAGAGAGATGGCTGCTGGGCAGCAAGGATGTGTGAAGTCTTCAAGCCCATTACGTGCTCTAAGGACAGCAGAAAGGAGGGAGGCTGGGCTGAGATATGGGCAAGGTGCTCAAGGTGTTGAGGCACATCCAGGTTCAGGGAGGCAGCTGGGAAATGGCACCCTGAGCAGTATAACACCACAGGGCTGAGTAGGGTGGACCGGCCTGAAGGCTCATGAGAGATGAGCAGCAGGACGTTCAGCTCCGTCCAGGCTGAGTCAGGAACCCCGGGCATGCCTAGAGCAACCATGAGGCTTCAGGGCAGCCTCCGTACTGGGAATGGATGTGCCTGGAAGCAACTGTGAGCATTCTAGAGCTTAGAGGTGACAGCCCAGCGGCACGGGATGGAGAAGCTGAGGAATTAAACTCTGGATCTCGAGGGCTTCATGGGTGGCTGCACCAGTCCTGGGTGCACTGGTGGGTCCTCCTGCGGGCTGCCTCCTGGACCAGCACCCACCCGCCAGCCGGGCCAGGCCTCTCATGGCTGCATGCCGTGCATCTGCACCGGGTTGCTTGATACCTGAAGTGAGAGTAAGCCTCGGACATCTTTCTGAGGTTGCTTCTTCCTCTGTGAAATCAGGCAGAATTTTTTTTCTTTTTTTTTTTTTTTTTTTTTTGTACCAGGCTGTTTTACCTCCTCCCAATTAATGTGCTTCAACTAATTGGTTTGTTGGACTCACACGGTAAGGAAACAGCTTTACAGATAGGCTTTGTACTTGTAAAGCAGCCTTGATGGTTTCTCCCCTTGGCAGAGCACCAGCACAGAGGTGGCTCGCACTGGAGCTGTTAGTCACATATTTTCATGGTTTTTGTCACCAGCTGAGACGTGGGAAGAATATTGACATGCTGTAACATTTACGTCAGCTGCCAGAGGACTAAGGAAGAGAAAGCACAAACATTACAGCCGTGATTAAAGAAAAGCTGGTGAAGTAAGGAGCAGCTAATGGCTTGGCAAAATACTGCCTTTGGCACAGTCACAAAAATACTTACTTTCATTTGTGGGGGACTTTTTTCCTCTTCTTGCTTCTTTCCCTTTCCCTATTTTTTTCTCTTTTTTAAAGGAAGTTAAGTCCTGCTAAGCACTGCACGTCTGGGCTTGCGTGAGGGTGGGCAGGAGATGGGGAGAGCCCTTCTGTGGGAAGCTGAGTTTGGGGAAGGGCAAGATGAGGGGCAGCATTGGTCCTGGGTAACATCACTGCTGGGCACCAGGCATTCCTGTGTGTGTTAGTGAGGTAAAGAATGACACCCACAGAGCTCCTTCCCTGGCCTTACCCCGTGTGAGTGGTGGTGAGGCCTCTGGGCAGCTCAGCAGGCGCAATTTCCATTTAGCAACTCAGTTCAAAATTGAGTTGTACAGTTTTCATGTCCTCTGTCATTTAGGGCAGAGAGTGACTGAGCCCAGGTCAGACCATTTGACCCCAAGTAATGAGCAGGGCCTCTCATTTTGATCCTTTCCTCTGCTTTTTGTGCTGTTCACCAGCCCCTCTCCAAAGGAATCAGCCCTTTGGCCTCCTTCTCCTCTCCTGGCCCATCACCAGGAGGAAAGGGAGGTTTGGCGTGGCGGGAGTCTGACAGCAAGGTCCTGCAAACAGCCACTGCATATGCAGACCAGGGCACTGACCTTCCTTATGGACAAAACACACATGGAAAGCCCCCCACTCCAGCCCCCCAAGGAATATAAATATTTTTCCTCAGTACGCTGTCCCAGGGCCAGATCAGAGCCATTTGGGGCAGGTGGACACTGACCCCGCACAGAAAGGGTCTCACAGAGGCGCAGCCCGTGAGACCAACTCCTCAGGAAACGTCCTTTGTCACCTTCCCTGGGGTCGCAGTTTGCATCTGTGTCACCACCGTGGCTGGGGGTGACCATCTGAGATGGTGACTGTCTCCAGATCTGGCCCAGGCAGGAGCTCCCTTTCCTCCCCTTGCAGTCCTCCTCAGCACTGCACCTGAGCACCTAGCCATATGCATTATGCGCTGAGGCTACTATCCGGTGCAAATGATACGGTCTTTCTCTTGTCCAGCTCCTTGGAGAGTGTCTTGTCTCCCTGCATGACAGCTGAATAACTCTGTCTTTCCTATTTTGAAGAATGGCAGCTCTCCTGAAACTCTAAACGAAAAAAGTGGTTTTGCTTGGAGGCTGCTGCAATTACTGTGCGCACGGCACTGAAGGTCTCCTCCCAGCCATACCTATAAAAATGTGGTCATTATGCACCTTAATAAGAAAGGTTTAAAATTTCATGGTTGAAATGAATTTGGACCCTAATAAAAATCCTGATAAAATGGAAAGAGCCAGGAGGCTAGAGAGTTTTACAGTGCTAATGTTCTGTCCCATTTCCCAAAATATATTTGTTCAAGTAATTCAAACTGTCGTTACAATTAACTTGTCCTTTCATTTCCCTCCCCGAATTCCCTCTAAGCTAAACACACAATTTTCTTCTATAAATCTGCGTGACAAGTAGAGCAGTAATTTTTTTTTTTTCTCCTTCACAACATTTATGTGCATTTTACACAGATTGAGTTGCCAGGCACATTTCCTAAGCTAATTTCTATGGTTGCAAGTGCACTTATCCATACTCAGAGCCCCCTAAAAGACTTGTGGGAGAAGTCCAGTTGGGTCAACTGGCCAAAATGAGTCTTATGTGTTTTCTCAAAAGTAGGAAATCTTAAAAATCAGTCTTCAAACTATCAACTGAGGGCTTTGTTGCTGGCTCCGAGGAGCAGAAAATGCAAGGCTGTCCTGGTCCAGCAGTCTTCTTTTATGGGTGCAACACAGGCTAGCATCACAAGTTGGTGGCATGAGGCACGATTCATTTAGAGAAAATTTGTGGACAGCTGTAGGTGCAAATACTGCTTGTCTTTCAAGGTCCCCCCACCCCAGGCCCCAGTCTGTAGCCACCTTAAGCCTAGCTCCCAGCAGAAGATAGATTTTTCTTGCCCAAATCAGAGTGCCACATGGTGACGTGTGATGCCCAGGCACGAAGTGCCTTGGGAAAGCTGTATCCTCTGATCCTCACCTCTGCAGCGGGCTCTGCCCCAGCCCCACTGCAAGAGCTGGATGCCAAGAGCAGCACCTTGCCCCCTGCTCGTGAACTGTTTCCCTCCCCAAGCTTCTCGCTTTGTCTGAAATGGTATTTCCTCTGACCAAGAAATAATGACCCCAACACATTATTTCAAATGTCATTTTTGCAAAGGCATTAATCAGCTTAGTGTGGGACTGGATTACATTTTAATTTTAATAGTGCTAAAATCTTACCGTTTTTTAAATTCATTTTTCTGTTCTTTAAATTTCAGCAGGGCAGTATCTCACTTGGTTAGACAGTACCTTGCTCTAATCTCTCCACTGTGGGAATCTGACAGACAATAGCCATTATTCAGTGGTCCAGGTATCAGCTTCACCCGTGTGCATTTACTTTAGTCCCATTGTCTGCATTAGGGTTAATAGATGAGATCAGGCAGCCAGGACCCCAAAGCTGTTTTATCTCCCATTGGTAAGTGTGGAGACAATGTCTTCAAAGGCACAAAGGAGAAATTAAATGACAAGTTCTCATTTATAGTCAAATGGAGATTGAGATATACAGCTGCCATTTGAGCTTTTGAAAATGTGCCCTTAAATGTAAAGTAATTATTAAAATTTCTTCTGTTGTAGGCTGCAGTTTTCACAAAAGGTCTCCGTAGCTTATAGCTGTAATTAATGGCTCAGTTTTCCCAAGGAGCTCTGCATACTTCAAAGTACTAGCATGCTTCCACTACATTTCTTCCACCCTGAGATGCTTTTTATTTAAAATCAATTACAAATTAGGTGATTATTCAAATCCTTTACCTCTGGGCATTAGCTCATAGGTAACAGATCTCCAAACAGATTTAACATTTTAAAGTTCACACCATGAAATGGAATCTTTCCCCTCCTTATCTTGTTATTTTATTACCAGGTTTGATTACAGTGATCAGCACAGTGGATTGTACCCATTGTACAACCACTTTAGCATCAGCCTTCCTTGCAGATTTCTCAACACTTCCCTTTTCAGAAGGAAAATGTGAGAGAACCCATAATTTTTTTCCCATTTCTTGGCCCTTGTCTGGCAATAAGTGCCTTTTTTCAATTCAACATAGTGAGTTTTCTAGGCATAAGAAATGGTAATTTACATACAATATAATACAATTTCATATATGTACACTATTTCACATAGGTACACATCCCGGTGTCCTCCTTTGTCATATGCTACTTGCATATACATTATAGTTATAAGTATATATCTATATATAGAGTTACTTTCTTTCAAAGACATGATTTGATTAGAAGTAAGTAAAAGTACAATGGAGTCAGATGCAGAATGAATAGGACCAACATCTTCTCCCTTTGAAATTGGACCAGGCTATTCTGAGAAGGCATATTCATCAATGGCCTTCATTTGCCCAAATCCCTTGTGCACTCCCGAAAATCCTGTCCTTCAGTAGGTTAATGTCCAGATGCTCAATGCTTCACAGAACTGGGTTGCATCCATCAAACGGTATTCAGAGCCCAGCTTCAGGTGTTATTTCTCAAAACACTGGCTGGATCTTGCAACTAGAAGTTAGATAGTACTCATGGAATCTCTTGTAATCCAGAGGAGATGAAAGGTAAAATATATTCTCAATACCACATTTTAAATATTTGTTCTAGTTTCACGCCTAACCACTATCCTCTTAATAAGCAGAAAAATACAATTCATACACTGCCTGAAGGAGATGTCTTGGTTTTATTTGCATCTATACTTTTCATCTATTGTTTTAATGAATAATAAGTGTAAGTGGTGCCTAAGACAGAGATTTTTTTTTTTTTCCTTTAATGGAAAAATAACCTCCTTGATGGTTTTATAGGCTGTATAATTGTGTCTGGTAGAAACAGACATCAATCTCTGTCACTTTATTAAGATGTCCATTAGCTAGCATTTAAACTGCATGCAGGGCTAGTACAAAGATAATAGGATCTAAAGGACTGTCTTTGTTGCCACATAACTTCTAAGAGAACACAAGATGTAATAAAAACAAATGGCAAAGTAAATCAATAGGACTTCTTATTTTTGTATGCTAGGAGTCATTATTCATTGACAGTGCTCACTTTTTGGCTGTTGGGCTACCTTTATCTCTGGTTTAACACAATTATAATGTGGGGGGATTTATCTGGCTTTGTATCATTATGAGGCAGGGAAGATGCCCGCTTTCTTCCAGCTGGACTGATTCAGAGGACACATTTGAAGAACTCAGTGATGACTAAGACAAAAACCTTTGGATTCCCACTGGGTGACCTGCTCAGAAATCATAACCGTGCCCCGCACACGTGCTAGTTAAACAAGTTAAACCCCCTTGGCACCTCATGAGGTAGGTGAATGTTATTGCTCCCCACTTTCCAGATGGAGGAGATGAGGCACTGAGAGGCTAAATGGCACCTGCCATGGGTAATGCAGAAAGACTGGCAAAACGTGGAGCACAGGGAATGAATTTCTCACTCCCTGCACTGGTGACTTCATGGTGCGGTTCTGCTGCCTTCGCCCAGCAAAGGTCCCTTCGCTGCGCTGTCCGGCTGCCAGCCACAGTGTTGGCTCCCGTTTTACACTCAAAACTGCTAATGCTGAAGAATGCACACTGTTATATCCAGGATTTAACCTCTCAAAAGATGAGTGGGCTATTTCTTTAACATTTTTTGTGTCTTTCTTGTAGTGATCTCCAGCTGTCAATGTGAGAATATCCAGGTTTCAGCTTCAAGGAGAGTGATGTGTGGTAAATACACTGATCTGGTGGCTCAGGAGGGAAGTGGCAGGCTGGGATACAGGGCAATCCTTCCTTTCAGGTACTGTCACTCCATGGCTCCTCTTCTTGCCAGCGATTTCAAGGCTCTATTTTCTTACTTTTATGACTTGACAGAACTCCATTCATATCAGTTATTAACATGGCTGATGAAAGAGAAACCCAGTTGTTAATTTTAGCTTCTCTCGTCAAATTTGTTTCCAGCAAATCAGTGCAACCATCGGTGTGACTTAGACAACAATATTCGAGGCACAAGGGAAAACCTGGGTATTGTTGACAGCCTAGAGTTTTACACTTCCCTGCCATCTTCTACATCCCGTAAGATTTAGGACATAAGAATAACTGCTACAGTAAGCAGAAAATTTCACACACCAAGAAATAGTTACAGTTTTATTAGTATTTTTGTTTGTTTTTCATTTATTAGTGTGATTTATCTGAATCTTGGTGGCCCAAACACAGTCAGATTTATAACTTAACCTTATAATTGAGTCAGCTTCTAACCTCAGTCCTGGGTCTTCATGCTTTAGGCTCTGTCCACCCTGCTGAGTTTCAGCTTGGTAACCAAATGTTTTGATGAACATAATCTCCACTACAGCCAAAAATTTACAGAGTTTTCTAAAAATAAGGAGCACACAAATCTGGACATTGTTGTCTTGTTGCTATCACATTTCTACATCTGGGTTTTGCTGTCAGCATTCTTAGAAAAGGAAAGGGAGTTATCACAGAATGAAAAATGAAATGCCAAGCACAGAAGCTTGTTGCTCTCCAGCAGCTTCCAGGGACTTACATTGACATTGGAGCCAAAGATCAGACAGGGTCTCATTGAATCTCACACTGTTATTCTTGACCATTCAACCTCTGACATGCCTATACTTCTGCAGAGAGAGGTTCTGACAAACATCGCTCCCTCCTGATCCAAAATGCCTGAACAGAAGGACAATGTGTTGGTTGGGAGAGGCACATTGGGATATACAGCTTCTCTGTGGGCCGCACTTTCCTCACTGGGGTGAGGAAAATCCTTGAAAGCCACCAGTGCTGCCCTCAGCACTGTTGTCTGCTTCTGGAGAGAGAAAGCGATGGTCCCAGAGACACTGCCCATTCACCATGTGCTGACTGTACCTGCCACACGTCATCTTCCCCCCTCATTTTAGAGCGCAGGTGGCAAGTGCTACATATCATGTGCTGTGCTCAAGTTGTATGGAGAACACATGCCTAAACATCCCTGGATTTGTTAACCTTGTACCCTGGGATCCATCTTCTGTGAGTCTGTGGGCTTCTTTGCTCTGCTTCATCATCACTCCTTACGTCTAAACCGGAAAAAAAATGACCACTGACACAAACATACCACCTGCACTCTGCAACCAACCCTGTTGATGCTGGCCAGTTAACTGTCCTAATGGTATCGATGAAGGTCCTATCCAGAGAAAGCAGAATTTAGACCCTAAAATGAGATCTTCTTCCTAAACCAATGGAAAGAAATATGATGTTCATATGCCAAAAAAAAAAAATAAAGGGATTTGCTCAAAATCAGAGATTTTGAAAAGGCCTCATTCAGTTCCCTTACAGGAGATGCACTGTCCAGACCTCCCCTTGCGAGCTGCATTTGTCTAATCCCTGACAGCCCATGTGAGCACTGCCTCTGGTTGCCCATTCCACAGTGGGCACCACCAGTGTGGCTGGCGTGGTGAACACAGAGGACCTTTCGGGTGAATGGTGAGCACATATTTGCAAGTATGAGAAACAACATGTGTCATAAAACAAACGGGAGCTGGGTGTGGGTTGGAAAGCAACCAGCACAGCAGGTTCCTCTATGACGCCTGTGCACGGAGTTGCCTGCTGGAGGATGTGTCCTCCCCTTTACCCTCCACAGAGGCAATAAAATGATCAGTTTTCTGGCTTTGCATTCAGATTAGACTGAAAAAGAACCAACAAAAGAGTTTCATAAATGTCTTCTGCTTCAGTCACTGCTGTGCCAGCATGCTTAGCTAAAGACAGACCAATATATCAAATTAAAACATATAAAGGTGCCTGGAAATATTAATCTTGAGTATTTATCAATTGCATGAGTGTTCTGGATGATGCGCAAGCCCACATGGCCCTTCAGGCCCCTCTTCCTTGATGAATGACATTCATTGCTCATAGCTAAGTGCACAACCATATTTTGCTGTTTTTCTTCCTCTAGGACCATCTGGTTTCTTGTATATCCTGCCAGGCTGCTGGCATCAGATTCACTGTAGTTTCCATCCAGCATCATAGTTTCCGAATGAGATATTCCACACGTACATGGAAACTAGGAACATAAACAAGAAATACAGATGAACACCGGAAGAACACATTAGCAACAGAAATGATGCCTTTCTATTAACAGACAGCTTGTAAACAGTTGATCTTAAAATTTTAGTTGAGATACTGTAAGTTTCTCTTTGGACAAAAAAGCGTTTTTGGTTTTTGTTTTTTTTTTGCTTATGTTCCAAAATGAAGAGTCATGGTTTAGCTACAATGCTTGGACAAGCAGCTTCAGAAAAGATTAGAATAATGCTTTAGAAGACATAAAAAGTAACCAGAAGGTTTTCTTAGCTAGCTCTGTTCAGCACTGCTTTCTTGAGATTCCTTTGCAGTCTTTGTGTTCATAAATATTCAAGGACAAGATGCAGTTTTATCTGTGGAAATGACTTACCCAGTACATGTTATAGAAATAAAAAGAGCCAAGTTCTGCTTTCACGGATACATTTTTTCTTTGTAAATCTGATTTTAAACCAAGGAGAGGACCTGTTAAAAGCCTAATATAAAATCCCAGATCTGTTAATGTCAAAACTTGCATTGACTTCAGCAGCACCAACATGCATCCCACGAGTCTTGAAAAACCAATGAATACAGGTAGAATTTTGAATAGCAAATACTGTCTTCTACTGTTTAAAATCTGCAGGTTTTCTCTCTCAGAAATATGGATTTATATACAATGAAAATGGACTCCAAAACTTCCTTTCTGCTAGGAGTTCTTGCCTCTGATTCCCCACAGACTGCTTTCCTTACCCAATAATACTTAACCCCCAGTTCCCTCCTCTACCAACTTTGATGTGTGGATTTTCCAAGGACTTATTTTCAAGGGTAAGTTCAGCTAAAATAATTAGGTATATATATACACAGAAATTTATATATCTTGAATATATATTTTTTTTCTTTAAATGTATATATACCTGAATATGTAATATTTAGGATGCCACCGGAAAACTCTGTACTCAAGGTTTTTTTTTCAAACTATTTAACCAATAGATCACATTGCTTACTGAAAACCTGAAAATCAACTTAAGAATTGTTTTCTGTGTTCTAGTCATAACCAAATGATTTGCTATCAGTAGATTGTGTGCAGAAAAATATGACAACTTTGTAGTCCATTTGCTCTACTTGTTAGACCCATCCCTTCAGAAATATTTTTGGAGCACTCCATGGGTACAGATGAACATCAGTTGGGTTTTAAGATGTATTTTATACTAAGCAGGTGTACCTAAAATGAAAACAAAACCACAAAACCATTAAAAAAAAAAAACCAAAAACAAAACACAGGGAAGAATTACATCAGATTCTTTACATCAACTGATGACAGGTCTGGGAGACGGTGGGTGGGTGGAAAGGAAAGTGGTTAACAGCAGTAAGATAATTGCTGCAGGACCCAGCAGAGGAAGAAATTCTGCAGAGTTACTCTTAGCCCCCAGAGCAAATTATGGTTCCCATGGATTCATGTACACATGATGACAGTCACCCGTATGGACAAGGGAGCCTAAAATACTAGAAACCCACCTCCACAGAGACTTAAATTACACCCATCTCCACATAGGCACACATGTGCAGAAGTATGTCACATAATTTCACCCTGCAGCAATTTTAGTCTATGTCTACACTAATAAATTAAACACTACCAAAGAGACTCTCTGGGCACAGGAACTCAGCTAACAATACTATTAGAATGTAAAAATTATCTCTGGCCCGAATTTTGTCCAGGCCAACAGGCATCAAAATGTTCCCATGTATGGTTTGGGAATAAGCATGGGTCACACACCATTTGCCAGAGGTGGTTCACAGCAGCCACTCGGATTCTGAGGGAAAGAAGGCTTACTTTTAGATCCTCCATGCCCATCAGCCTTGATCCCAGGCACATCTAATTTCTTAATGTATGCATAACATAGAGCTCTTCTCTGGGCAGCCTAACATATTCGTATTAGAATTTTTTGGGTCTTTCATGGGGGATCAGCTTTGGCTGACAAGATCTACATTTACAGTGAGAAATGTCTCTTCTGCTTCTTCAAGAGCACTCACCTGCATTTTGCCGCAGACCCTTCAATGCTGCTTATTATCTCTGTTCTCATTACCACCACTGAGGATTATACAGTCACATGCTGAAGACTAGATAGAATATTTTACCTTGTGTAGTAAAAATGTATTTGCTGAATACAGAATTCAATGCACAAAATTCAATAAAGGGCAGATTTGTGATATAAATAACAAACTATGCCTTCACTCTATGTGGGAAAACTTTCCTGAAAACTTAGCAGAACAGTAACAAACCCTCTCAAGTTCGTTTCATCCCAACAATATAGTCAAAGATAAAGGACAAGGGGTTTTGCCTAAAAAAATAAATACAGGTTTATTCTAGCAAGGATGATATTTTTTCCTGTGTGCTGTGAAGACACCATCTTTTTTGGACATGGAAAGCCCAAGCGGGGCTGGCTAAAAGGCCACAAACCACTGCTCATGTGCAGCAAGTAAGACACTTGACTCACTGTGCTTGCACAGAGCATCTCTAACTTGTGCTGCCTAGAACTGCTGGGCCCTGGGTGGGGACTAGGATGGGGACATAGATAAATCAATATACTCAGGGCCAGCCTGTTCAAGTAGCGTTCCAGAATCATGCTGTTGTTGAGAAGGCCTTGGAGAGAGGTAAAATTTTGTCACAGGAGTCTGCTGAATTTATTCCAATCACTTTTTAAAATGTAATTACATTTTTTATGAGATGTCAACTAGGAAAGGTATTGGACGGACAAGTGATCTATTCTATACTTCAGCGAAGTTATAGGAAGAAGTACAAGGGGAAGAGAAGGACATGCAAAGCCAACAGAGTAGTTCAGAGAGGGAAATGTCATAGTCAAATCATATGAAAGATGAACTCTGCATTGACATTTCTGAAAGGCTGATACAAACTTCTCCCAGAGTCAAAGGCTATAGGTGACCAGTGTTACCTGTGAACTAATGTGGGGAGTTCCTAATAGGAAGAAAGAAGCTGTAAAACACAGTGTTGTTCTGGGTGTGTTGGGATTGGAAAAAATTTGGTCTCAAGCCTTAGTGTTCAGAAGGTGATGGTGTTTTGTTTAATTATAAAGAAGCGCTGTCCTGGGTTTGAGTGAGTGGTGGGGCTTTTTGGTAGCAGGGGATGGGGCTATAGGGGGTGACCCCTGTGAGAAGCTTCTTGAAGCTCCCCCGTCTCCAAGTCAGCTCCACCTCTGCATCAAAACTGAGGCAATCAGCTGCGCCTCTGCAATAACATATTTAAGAAGGGACATGGTGAGGAGGAGTCGGACTTGTGAGGAGGAGTTGTGGCAGCTCCGTGAACACCAAGGTCAGTGGAGGAACAGAGGAGGAAAAGAGGGGGGAGGTGTGCCAGAGCAGAGACCCCCCTGTATCCTGTGGTGAGATGGCAGGGTGGCCCCTCCCTGCCACCCATGGAGATCTGTGGTGGAGCAGACATTGATTTATGGCCTGGGAGAGGCCTCTCATGGATGACCAAGGTGACTGTGCCCAAAGAAGGCCAGGATCTTGTGGGAATAAGTAGCCCCCAATGTTGTAGTTCGCACTGGTAGGATTGCAGCATGCGGGGGTGTCCCACGCTGGAGCAGCTCGGGAAGGGCTGCAGCCCATGGGAGGGAATCCAGTTGGAGAAAGTTGGTGTCCCATGCTGGAGCAGTGTGGGGAACGCTGCAGCCCATGGGGGGACTCACATCAGAGAGGGTTTCTGGAGGACTGTATCCTGTGAGAAGGAGACCACGCTTGAGCAGGGGGAACAAGTTCCAGAAGCTCCCCCCACTGAAGATGGAAGAAGTGGCAACACTGACTGCACCCCCCATTCCCTGCTCCTGCACCACTGGGGGAGGAGGTAGAGATAGCGGGAGCAGAGCTGAGCTTGGGAAGGAAGGAGGGGTGGGAGCAAGGTGTTTTCAAGTTGTGGTAATGCTTCTCACTGTCCTACTCTGTTAAGTGTTATTGTTAGTGTCTGTAATAAATCTATGTTCTTTTTTCTTCCCCTAACGAGTCCACCTTTTGACCGTGACCATAATGGGTGATTTGCCACTCCCGATCCTATCTCAAATCCCAAGTCTGGCTCATTTGTCCTTTCTCATCACTGGGAGGGAAGGGAGGAGTGAGCGGCTGTGTGGTTCTCAGTTGCCCTCTGACCTCAAAGCATGACAAGCACTCACAGGTCTGTAGGATAATTCAGACTGGAAAGGAGCTCAGGAGGTCTGTAGTCCTATCTCCTGCTCACAGCAGGGCCAAGGTGCTCAGAGCTGTATCTGGTCAGGTCTTGAAGAACTCCAAAGATGCAGGATAAGACCTTTTATAGCACCTTAAAAAGTACAAGCATAAACTTGGGTGACTGTTTTTTGTGTTTGGTAATGGGGAACAACTCCACTATTACATCCATTGAATCCCGTTTCCAGAGAAAAGCTGACTGTAGAGGGAGGAAATTAATTTGTTCCAAATAACATCTTTATCTTAAAAATATAGCAGCTGTGGCAGCCACAGTGAAATATCAGATTTGATAATTTCCCCTCTTGTCATCCGCCACAGTTCCAGGTTGCAGTCTGCCACAGTTCAGATCACACTCTCCCCTCATCTGTGTTTCTGTGAAGACCCATGAGACCAACTCCTGTTTTTCTTGTGTTAGCAATTCAGCCTGAGGTGAAGCAGTCTAAACAGATCCGATTATACACACATGGTTGTCAGTGTTTTCCCATTTATAGACACAAACCAGTCAATACAAAGACTAGATTGGCTGTAAGAAAAAAAGGAATAAATGGATGAACAAACCAAGGTTTTTTCTCACCTTCTCCCTGAGCTTCCTCTTCCTCCACTCTTGCACTGTAGTCAGATAATTCACTGCTGCATATTCCAGCACTGAGAGGAAGACAAACACAAAACTGGCCCACAGGTAAATGTCCACTGCTTTAATGTAGGAAACATGAGGCATGGAGGCATTGACCCCGGTGATGATCGTGGACATGGTCAGCACGGTGGTTATCCCTGGAAAGAACCGAGAGAAATACATATTATTGACTAATACAGTCCATAAGGCTTTTGTCTCAAGAAAAACAGAAATTATGCTCTACGTGATGCCCTAAAATATGTTAGATATTAAATACATTTGTGATAGGTAACTCTCCTGACAATGCAGAACTGTTCCACTGCCTGCATTTCTGTGCACATGAGGGCTTTAGTTCTGAGGAGCAATGAAGCAGCCATCATTTTGCTAGGAAGCGCATTTAACTCCCTCCTTACCCTCTAGGGTTTTAACACAGTGCTTCGAGTTCGGTCTGCTAAGAGCAGTGGTAACAAGGACTCCTGTTTCCTAGCTGTAGCAATCTGTATTACAGGCACTGCCAGAAAGCAACCTAGTATTGACTTTTGGTCACAGCTGAAGAAGATTTGATTTAAATCACTGATCTTAAAAGGGATGTGCTATAATGATAAAATGTTATGCATGAAACCATGCAAAAAAAAAAGTATTATGTTTTTACCTCTAGAAATATTTGTCTATAGTCCAAGCTGTGGGAATAAGAAAGTTTTGAACAACCACCATTGTGTTATATATAGATATGTGCATGTGTATGTTTTTATAACATATATGTATGTATTTATATTTGTGTATATATATGTGTGTGTCAATATGTATATATTTATACACATGTGTATGTAAATATATATTTAGACAGATATAGATAAAATCCTGCAAAACAATATATACTTTGTATTGTCATGGAGAGAAAACTATTTACAAGTTCCCAAAGCCTCTTAAATAGAGAAAACAGAGCATAAAACATAGCTACTTCAGCCATTTCAAAACAGTGACCACTGTAAATACAGCTACTGTTGATCACTTTTCATCAAGATCTGATTTTTTAAAAATAATATCCACTGAACACATTTCTTTTAGTGGAGCAGGCTCTTGACTGCCTCTTCTCATACATTTGCTGCGGTGCATAGCTCTCTGAGCGAGACAAACTTGTGGGCTAAAATACTGGGTTTATGCTTTTAGTATTGGAAGCTTTCCATATTAACATTCAGAGATCTTTCCTATTACATTTTTGCCTTCCTCTAACCTATGCATGGAATGATAAACAAATTGGCTCTTTTTACACTCATCTGAAAGAATTTCCTCCAGTCCTGACGCAGACAAAGCTCCTCCTGTTGGGTTTTATATGTCCAGAAAGGCAGATCGGTGTGCGCAGGATTTTCAGGCAGCTCCTTCTTTGCTTTCCCATTCCCTCAAATGAGAGACCTCCCTAGCCCAGAAATGTTTGTCTTTCAGTGCAAGGCACCCTTGGGAGAGGAGAAACCCACCCTCTGCCTCTCCTCAGGAGTGGTGGCCTCATCCTCAGCAGTGCAGATGTGAGAGGAAGGCCGCGTTCTCTTCACTGCCCCACTAAGTTTTCAGGTGCAGATAAGACTAGATTCCTTGATGCCTCTCTTTCCCAATTTTGTGAAGATGTGCTGCACTGTCACCCTCCAGGCAACCTGGAGAAAACCACCAGCCACAGCACCTGTGCTGGCTGGTTGGGAAGACACATACCTGGGCTGGGACACCCACTGTAGCAGGTGAGACACGGCAGGATCCCGCTCATGAAAGGCATTTGTGAAAGTTGTAACAGAAGCCATTAACTCCCTGTAAGTGCTTAAACTCCTGGGAAACTCTATGCTCACTGATGGCAACATGCGTGTCAGAACTGCAGGACTGGACAACAAGGGAAAATCTTGATTCATTGACTCATAAATACTGAAACCTCTCTTCTCTGCTCAACTTTACTTTTAAAACCACAGCCCTTTCTGTCCTGAGCTAAGTATAGATCAGGAGGATGGCTCAGCAGTAAACGACTTACTTAAGACACACTGCAAGTTTCTGCATTATATTCATCATCAAATAAAACAAGGATTTGCTTGCCCAATATCTTGAACCATCAAAATGAACAGTTCCCTTTCCTGACAAAACTTTCACATTCAAAGGTTTTCCACACAGTTGTGGCTTGTTGCAGTTGTTCTCACCCAAAGAAACTCTGGCAGGAACTGCTCGGCGATCGATCCAGAAGGACACCCAGGACAACATGACCATGAGGGTGGCAGGGAAGTAAGTTTGGAGCAAGAAGAAGAAAATGTGTCTGCGTAAAGTGAAGTTTATATAGAGGCGATTGTACCAACCTTTGAGAGAGGACAAAAGCCAGAATCAGTGAGAACAGCCTAGATGGTAGGCACAGAGAGACAATATCTTTGTTTTGATCCTTTATTTCTAAAGGGTAGTGAACAGACAAACCGAGCTTTCAGAACATGTATTGTCCAGACCGTGGAGACTACATTTCAGTGACATACAACCCCAAGAGTTCTCTCTACAAGTATTTAATACAGCATTAGGTTCAGCGATAGCATTAAATCAGAAAAGGCCAATACCTGTGCTACTGTAGAAAGCCAGTCTTGATGTAGTGTGGAATTTTTGTATCAAAAACTGAGACAAAGAAATCTTTTCATCAGTTTTCAGAGATTCATTCCCATTTTTCCAATACAGCATAAGCTCTTCATCGGTGTAAGCATCTTTGGGAAAGAAGAAATGTGATGTGATGTGACTTTAGTTTGGAAGGGAAACAAAAGTTATTCGATCTGTTCAAAATTAACAAACACAAAGGCATCCTTAGTACGAAGTAATGCCACAAATAAGTTTGCTAACAAGAGTCAAAAAGATCTTGCCATATGTTATACCCACAACAATAACAACAACAAAACAAAAAATCCAGGTCATCCTGATTCAGGGAAACACATCCTCTTTTCACTCCACACTGATGAAATGACAGCTAGAATGGTACTTTTCTGAGCATCACATGTCAAAAAGGTATTGCTAACTGATAAGAATAACTCAAGAAATAGTCATGGGTAAAACACCTGTGTTTAGGGGAAGGAGGAAACACAGACACCTCAAACTAACTTAGAATGATAAAGTAAAAGTGATAGGTGTGATTTGAAGCAAAAGTCTAGAAATATTTGAAGACTGTAAATGGAAAACTTTAAGAATTATTTAGCACACTAAGTAACAGGAATAAGGAATAAAAAAAGGGTTATCAAGGTGGGTTTGGTGATGCTTGGCTGGAGCACATAGCATAAGACAAGAGGCTGGGGGAGCTGGGTTTGTTCAGCTGAAAGAAGAGCAGTCTGTGGTGGGGTCCAACTGCTGCCCTGATGGGGGTCATAGAGAAGACTGGTGGCAGGCTTTCCTCAGACTCTTCTCCAAGATGCAGAGCGAAAGGACAAGAGGCAAAAAGTACAAGTTCCAGCAAAAGATTTTTTCCAAGGAGGTAAAAGGAAACTTTTTCAGGATGACAGCTGTCAAACATTTAAACAGGTTGCACAGAAAAGTTGTGGAGCATCCATTACCTTGGAGATGTTCATAACCCAACTGGGCACAGTCCTCAGCAACCCACTATAAATCTCTCCCTGCTCTGAGCAGGGTATTAGAGCATCTGACCTCAAGACCAACCTAAATTACCTTGATATTCTGTGGTTCTGTTGTTTGAAGAGGAAAACTTCAGTTAAATAGCTGGGAAGACCTCAAAGCTAGATATTAGTCTTGTCACACCCCAGAGAAAGTTTACAGAACAGCCACAACAATCTTACTGTTTACCTCACTTTCTCCACAGAACAACTCCTTCCCAAAGAATCTGAGCCCAGGTCACAGTGTTTGCAGGATCAGATTTATATTATACATAAACCACATTGGTGATGAAATTTAGAGAAAATTAATGATCATTACAATCAACTTTTCATTGTGACATTTGAAAGCACCACCTTCCCATCAGAAGCAATGGACAGAGCAAAACTCTCCCCCGGATTTCTCTTCAGCAAGCTGCTGAGAACCACTGTATGTTGAACATTTCTGCTGGTGTTTTTTTGAAAGTGCCGTCTACTATAAATTTCATACAACACTGCTTTCTTTGCAAATTCCCCTGTCTTGCAGCATAAGGGTTACATATGCTACACAATAAGTCAATAATAGAAGGACCTTTAGTAACTCTGATGAACTATTTTTTTATGCTCTAAAATAGACTGTATTCTGAAATGCATCCAGTCTATGTTTGTGCAGCCAGCCATCGAGCACATCTAGCAAGAAACACAGATACAACTTACAGCTTTCCAGCTCCAGAGAACACAACTGAGAGTCCAGGGGGAAGCGGCTGAAGTCCATGTTGCACATTGCTGTCACTGTGATCCTACAAGTTGAAAATGAAAAAGGTTGGTTTCTGTGAGGAGTAAAGAAGGGAGAACATTATCACAGATAAATCATTCTGCAGCTTTAAAGCCAGCTAACATGCATTCTATGCTAACACGCTTAACGTTAGCATAAAATCCCCAGGAAAATGTCTACCAATTCTCCAAGTCCAAGAGAGGTGAGTTATACACAGAAAGCCAAAGGAAGCTGTAATTTCAGTATCTATCAAGGAACCAAAATACTATCTTGGACATTACAGTAATACTAATGTCAGTACAGATGCTTCCACCGTGTTTTATATCCAACTATTTCCCTACAAGGCAACAACATAAAATAACTTCACCATTTGCATTCAAAGGTTTCCTTATGTTCAAGGCTTTCTCATTTCCTCCATTGCTTAGTTCCCTCTATATTCACCCCAACAATGACTCAAGCTTGAAGAATGTGGCCATCCTTATTTCAAGCCACAAAATTCCTCCAGTATATACATTATCAAGGCAAAAGCAGTTTCTTCCACTCCTCAGTCAAATTCTTTTAATTTGGGGCGTGCATTTCTGAGGCAGGGTGTGCAAAATGAGTGCAACTGTTTTTCAACAAGTGAGATTTGCCTCTGTCGAGTTTGTGCCTTAGCTAAAGAGCTGCAGCAATCACAGCTCCAGTTTTCAGAGGAGTCCAATTGTACACAACATTATGTAACGAGTTTTCCAGAGGGTCAGTGAACTTTTTCTTCTGGACAGATTTGCAGTGGAGCTCCCAATTTAGTAGCGGCAAATCAGCTGAGTCATCATTTCAGAGGCCGACTTATGTTGGCCGTGACCATTTTCTAGATTCATTGCAGATGTTGATAAGGAACTTTTCTTCTGTTCAAGGGATTGTGATCTAAATCCTACTCTGAGCTATGTACTCATTGCCACTGAAAAGCACATGTTTTTCATTTTGACTATAAAACTAGAGCAAAATTTTGCCATATGGGTAAATCTTAAAGAAGCTCTTCAGGGTTATGCTCCAGAAAGTGCAATGACTTCCCCTAGCTGTGTGTAGTATTTAAGTATTGTATAAGTCTCATTACAATGTGCTGTTTTCTTTCCTTGAGGCCACCTAAACTGTCACACAACCTGTGGTCATTAACAATTTGTTAGTCAGGGATAGCACAGAAACTCAGCTCATGGATAAGATGTTCCTCCATTACAGTTGAGTGTTCAGGTGGCCCTGAAAGCCCAGGGCCCAAATGAGGAATAAAATGTCCTTCAGTCCAGTGCAACTGGCTGAGTTTCATGCAGGCATCTCAAGACACCTGAGGGGATTCCCAGTGCCACTGGACACCCATGATTGGTCAGCCAGATCATGTTCTGAGTGTCCTAAACACCACCAGGCCCAAATACCATGCAGATTCTTGTTCTCCTTGGATTTTACATATCAAATTATCCATTTAACTCTTGTGCGGTCAGCTAGGGTTAGCTCACATCCTTCTCTCCTGTGGTTAACGTTAGAAAGTCACATCACCTCCTTGACAGCTCACAGAAAATTTTGAAAGCAAATACTCTGCATGCAGGCAAATGAGCAGATATGAACAGAGCCAACGTTTGCCATTAAAAGTACTTGTTCCTTCCTTCTGGTTTTGGAGCACTGCTAACAAGTGGCGTGCTGCTGGCTTCAGCACGTGAGAACTGCAGGGTGTGAGAAATAGAAACTGATATTCAGTTACACCAAGCAGCATCTGTCAAGAAGGTCCCTGCTCTTCTCCCTACGATGCTGATCCAACCTTACATCTAACCTCCTTCTTCATTTTTCTTCCTCTTTCTTGTCTCTCCTGCTACACAGCACCTTCATCCTCATCCAGTTCTAATAAAATACACAGTGTCTTTAGGTGCTTAGTTAAGGTGTGGGTAATCAGACCTTTGTTGCAATAAACGGACTTATTAAATGGGTTCAGAACAGGCAAAGTGTTCCTAAGTGTTTGGTCAAGTTGGGGTTCTCATCATTAAGACCAGGCAAAATTAAGTGGCCGTATGGTGCATACTCTCTTTCTGACACACACACGTTTCTTTGTGGCTTTAATAATTTGTCCAGGGTTTTTGAAAATAAATTCAGTAGAATTATATTTGGACAATGAAACCAGTGAACTTTAGAGCCCCCTGGTTCAGTGGGATATTGTCCTCCTTGGGGGGATGACCTACAATATCGCCCACTGTGTTCATTCTTCAAAGAGAAATAACCTTCTGAAACAAACTTTATAGAAAACCTTTCCTGCTTTCTGAGAATTATTTTACCATAGTTTAAGTGAATAAGTTTTAGAAAGATCCTAGAACAGAAATCCTTGGCTACAAAACATTTAAAGGTCACTGTACACTGAGAGCACATTTTCTGTCCTGGGGAAATGTCCTTTTGTCTGGGCTCTCAAGCTTTTCTCCTCTGGCAGTGTATTTTTCTCCACGTCGCTTTTTGTATTCTTCTGAAGGAAGTGAAATCTGCTGGGATGCTGATGTGAGCAGCCATAAAGGTGGCCTGGTCAGAAGAGGGAAATTACTGAGCAAAAGAAAATGTCTGCTGAAAAATATTGACAGTGAAAGGCCTGCCAACCTAGGGACCAGACATATCCTTGAGAAGCACAGCTGGCCTCTTTGAAGCGTACACAGGGTACCTAGAAACTGAAGACGTCCTGAGATACCATTGGTAAACACAAAAAGAAAGGGATTGTAGAGGCAATTTATTGTCTGAAAAGGTGAAAAATGGTCTGGAAAATAAAAATTGGTTTGAAAGAACATAAAACATCATCAGCTGTTGGCCATCACAGGTGAAAAATAGAAACTAACAGCACCTATTGCCTGCTCAAAGTGGTAGTGTCCTACACCCTTTTATGTCTCTGTGATATAAGGAGGAGATAAATTTTATCCAAAATGGAGCCTCTCTCTCCAACAACTTCCCATGCTGCACATACTTTTCAATTCCTAAACAGGTTGAATTCATTGCATAAACTTTCTATCAGCTCTTGGATTCCCATTGTGGATGTCCGGCTGACTCCAGACTCTGTGACACAAGAGCATCTCTGAAGTGAGACTCTCTGTTGTCTCACTGGTCCTCCTCTGGGCCCACTTGTGAAGTTGTTTTGTTTCCTCCCACCCATGGGATGATTTGGTTCACTTGTTAATCGTATCACTTGATATCTGCATTATACCTCCATACAAGTGATCTACCATAAGTATGCCTGCTGTGATATTGTAGATGAGTTGATCACTAATGATAAATTTGTAGCATCCTGTAACAGTATATACCTAGTTAGTTATTGCTGTTATTGGCTCTTGCTATATGATTGATTGATACTATATTACTGATCACTGATAGTAATTTGTAATAGCATGAGATTTAAATATATAAATATATACGCTTTATTAATCACAGGTATACTGGTTAGTAGTGATTTTTGTGGTATTTTGGGTAATCTGTAATAAGGTAGAGAAGTTTAGAGGATTAAGCCTCTGTGTCCTTGTGTATTACAGTAGAATCCTGCAAAACCACAGTCACGATCTGTGTACACCTGCAGGCCAGGTAACCCTTCAGGTCATGACAGGTGTGCCCGGATCATGACAGGATACTTCCAGCCAACAAATCTGCTAGAAAACCAGGGACGATAGGGAATCTTTAATTCTGCCATTTCAGCTTCAATAAACTTAAACCTTTACATCAACATGTAAATGCCAACCAAAAAAAAAAAAAAAAAAGGTTTTCTAGACAAACAGGAAGCAAAATAGGATAATTATAGAGGTCACCATCTGGTGTATCAGCAGCTTCCAGTTTAATCACACACTGACCCCGGGACAAACATTCCCGCTCAACTAAGCCCTCCTCTGACTGCACAGAGTTAGGGCAATGCTTCCCCCAGGAGGAGATTATCCTGTTACTGCCCGCAGCACGGTTTCTTTCAGCTTCCTGCAAAGCATGTTATACTGGACATGCTGGAAACAGGGCTCTGCATCAGTGGAGGGAGTAGCAGGGTTGGCAGTAGCAGTCCTGGTGGTCACTACAGCAGTGCTAGGAGCAAAATTGACAGCAAAGCCCCAGGGGATGCTCAGAAGCAGTGAGGCTGCACTGTTACCTCATGCTGTAGAGAACATGACCGTCAGGGAACACTCGCAGCATGATGTTGTCCTTGGTGGTATCGTGAATGAAGGACCTTTTGGAATGCACGAAGAAGACATCAGGAACCCAGATCTTCTTCACCAGCCGGCCGTCAAAGGTCATGCTCTTGTTTGTGGTGCTGGGAAACGAGAGACGCTCATCCTTCCAGTAGTGCCTTAAGTACAGAGTCACAGTGAAATCCTTCGCAAGAAAGGAAGAAAATCAGAGAGAGGTCTGTCAGTGTTGCTCTCTACATCTAAGAAACACCAGAAAGAAAACTTACTTCTACCAGGCAGATTAAATCCCTCCCCTCTCAACTCCTGTTTCTTTCCTGGACCAATGCTCTTTGTGAATAGATTTTCCTGACAAAATAATTTCAGACAGAACAAAACATAAACAGCCAATTGTTGTATTACCCAGTAATGTTCTGTGCCAGAAGGGCTATAAATATGACCCAAGAGAAGCACCACCCTGCAGAGATGATTCTTCAGTCCTGGCAAAATTATTTTGAAGGACTGTGGTATCAATAGCATGTTCAAGAGGAAAAACTTTCAAAATTAGCTTAATGGTCAGGCTAAACACCAAGCAATTTATTCCCAAAAGAACTAAATTGTTGCAGGTGAGGGAACTGTTTTTCCTACCATACAAATGTATAAATAAAGCTCCCTTTTAAGCTCATTGAGGGGGCAGGATCTTCAGTCCCACAGAGCAAAACATCTGTTTGTTGATCCCAACCTGTCAGCTGCAGCTTTCAGAGCTCAATCTACTCTCTCATGCTGAGAGATCAAATACACTTGTTTACTTTATATTCCAAGTTAAGCGAGTGGTTACGGGAGGTGTAGCTGCAAAGCCCAGGCAGGCAGCAACACAGACTGGGATCTCTTCCTAACCACAGGGCAACTGCTTTCTAAAACCACCACCAGCACCTCATTTTGCTTTGCTGATGACAAACCATCGGTTAACCTGGCTCTCTGTTTCAAAGGACTGCTTGACAACAGTCTCACATTGCCAATAGGTTTTTCATTAATTTGCCAGACAAGTCTTTAGTGCTTGCCTTGCTGCCCTGCATGGGGCAGAGCTGGCTGGACACCTTCCTCTCTGACCATGGCAGTCACCTGCCAGAGGGACACTCCTGCTCACCCACTCGCAGGTCCCCACCTTGGCAGAGTGGTCCCACCTTCCATCCCTGCTCCCGCCAGGGATGCTGCCAGGTCCTGTTCCCTACTGGACACTGGCCACCTTTCCCTTATAGCTACAGTCCCAAAGAAAAACTCCCAGCAACTGGTGCTACCAGCAGGGATTAGGTTGCAATCTGGCTGGAGGATGGGCTGGAAGGGGCTGGACATCAAACTCATCAGCCTGACTAGAGCTGGAAAAAAGGAAACCAAGGAAGAGGCATAACCAATGATTTCTTAGGAGCCATTGACAGTTACACCAGAAGTCAAAAAAGCCAAAAAAGGTAAAGAAGATTCTAACTATTCAGGGTCACCAGTCCCTGCCTTGTGGCCTTGGACAGCCCCCTGGCCATGGCATGAGATGGAGGGAGACGGGGCCCCAAGAGAGAAAGGCCATGAAGCCTGGGGCTGGGGCTACAAAATGCCTCTGGGCAGCTCCATCACCAGAGCACAGGGGGACAGGGACCGATGTGGCATCAGCCAGACACCCTCAGCATGACTTACAGCTACCATGCAGGAGAAGGGAGAGACTGCAGGAACAGCGTGGGAAGGGACACAGAGACTGCATGCAGGGACAGCATGGGAAAGGCCACACCACTCCCCAGGCCAACCCTTTTCCTGTCTCACCAGGCAGGAGCCCTCTCCCCTCTTGCCTTCAGCTCCCTTCTCACTCCAAACAGGCCTTCAGTGGCCAAGAAACAGGGCACCAAGTTCTGCAAACATGAAGCTAAAGTGGCAGCTGATGACAGCTTCTAAGTATAAAATCCAACTTACAGATGTTTTCTCATAGTATGAGTCAAACAAGGCAGTTTGCAATCACCGACAGCTTGTTCCTTCCTGACCAGCACACACACTAGCTACAAGCTGAGAAAAGGGGTTTATTTCAGCACCCATGAGTAGGTAAATCCCTTAGGAAACAAGTTTTACAACACACTGAGAGAACCATAGTACCTGCTGGAGGCACAGTGAATGAGCATACACAAGTGTCTCATTTTTGGCAGCACATTTCCCGTTTGTGCCACCTTCCAAGCAGCCTCAAGAGCATGTCCTGCCAGTCCACACAGCAGCAGACCATCTGTGCTGACCGGACAGGCACCAGTTTTAAAATCACATGCTTAAAAAAAGCCCCTGGCCGCTGTCACTGACACACACTGTCTGGCAGGTACAGCAGGTTGCGACTGATGATGCTTCAGTCTGGTGCTTCTTTGGGGCACCGGGTGCCTGCTCAAGCAGTGATGGCTAAAGGCAGCCCAGCTGATGGTACTTGATTTCTAGGGCCACTAACCCTTCAGAGTGGCTTGAAACAAGTCCTGCCTGCAGCTCTGACCTGCCTGCAATGGAGAGACAAGGAGGGCACCTTGCTGCAGGCACGGCCAGCCCAAGTCCCCTGGCTGTGTTGCCTGCTCTCCTCTCTGCAAACACCCATGCTGGGACAGACTGCTGGAAAAAACAGCCAACGTAACGCAGACTGAGCTGGGAGACCATTCTTCCACCCCAAATACAAGTCAGCAACCACTGTGGAAAGTATTTGCCTTGTGCTGGGAAGGTAAGACACCTTACTTCAGACCTACCGACAGCAAAGGGAGAGAGCTGACCTCAAAGCTTTCTGACTGGCAAAATTTTTGTTGAAATAGGATGCTCCTGGCAGAAAGCACTGCAAGTTATTTACTTGCACTAGTTAGGTCTCTTTGCTGCTCTGACATTATCTTGACATATTAGAGCCCTTAATCTCCTTGCAACAGCCATTTTGTGTGCTGACAGCTCCCTCCCATGCTTCATTGCACACATCCCCCCCACACCCGTTCTTTCCATATCCAGGCAGGCAAGGTCCCTTCTTTTAATGAAGATGTAATTTCCCCACAGTAAAAACTGGTCAGCTTAAAGCTCTTCCTTTAAGTCTTCATATTTTGTCTGGACCAGAGAAGCTGCCCAAGAACAGAGAGGAAAAGGCAGAAGGAGGAAGGAACCAAGAAGCTTCCTCTTCTCCGCTATGTTCCCCTTTCCAATTCTCTTTCTAGTGTTTTTATTCCATTTCCAATAGTAAAAAAACCAAGCAAACAAACAGGAAAATGCATGTGAACACTCCTTTCACTGGGAACACCTTGAAACCTGTTGAGGGTTAACAACTGCATGTATTACTTCATCTTTTTTAATTATTAAAAAGATAAAGATACTAAATCACAATTGAACTTGGTGCAAATTTCCTGAACATCATCATCAGTGACTGAAAGACTATATCCCCATGCTAAATTCCACTTTGGCAGAGGCAGTTCAGGCTCCCATTGGCAGATTCCACTTACGTGCCTCAGTGAGGTTCCTCCCAGTGATGAAGAAGAAGCAGTTCCTTCTCATTTACGTTACCAATTTAATTTTCTAATGTGCCTCCCAGAAACATGTATTTAAAACAAATGGACTCAATGGTTCCGTAAGGAAGAAAACTCTTGCAGTAAGCGCAGCTTATATGAGCTGCAGCATGTACCTTCAAACCTTCATGCACAGCTACTTATATTTCTGTTTGTGATAGATCCTTCTTGGCACTGATTATTCTCTCACTTAATGCCCCTTTTTCCTTCATACTTTTTGTCTGAAGATACAGAGATAAGCCATTGATCACCTGGTTTTATCAGGTCTTTAGTTCTGAATATCAGATTCTTATAATTTGCCAAATGCTGCTATTACTTCCATCTGACCAATCATTTGAAACCCACAGCTTTTAAGTGGGAGGGACTTTTTATGACTACAGATAATTGAGGCTTAAAAGATTACATACCATGTCAACCTCAGAAATACTGTCCAAGCTTTCAACTTGCACATCCACCCCAACGGGAATTGCAGGGCCTGTAGAAGAATCATATTTAAATATGTAAATAACTGTTCTTTTATATCATCTGCATTTAATTAGCACTATAAAGTGTATAAAGTGGCATGCAAACCATTTCTCAACTTATGTTATACTTTTCCGTCCATGATTTTTCACGAGAGGGCTGAAGGAAGAGTTAGTGAATAATCATGTAAGGCCCCTTTTGAAATATTGAATTATCTTCCCCTTGGCACACACCGCAGTATTGACACTCTGCCCAGATAATCCAGAGCTTGGATGAAACATCTGCATATGCTTTTAAAAACTAGACCATCCCATCATAAATTTTAGGCCTTTTATCCCCAAGAACAGGGGACTGAAGAAACTGCAAGCAGCAATCTCTTCCTTGGGAGTTTTTGATTTCTTATCAACAAAATGAGCTACATAAATCTTTCAAGAGCCCACCACCATTTGATACATATGGTTTATTGATAGTACTATCTAACTGATATTACTAGGTTTCCCCAGTAGTTTTGAAATTAGCAACCAGAGAATTCACAAAGAGTAAATAAAGAGAAAACATCCCGTAATAAATGCACATTCCTCTAATCCTATATCAAAACTTCACTGTAGCCTGCTGCTTATTTTAGTGACTAGGACCTCCTCAGGTTACTCAAGTTCCCCGTGGTGTGTCCTCACACAGCTTTTTCCCTTTCCCAGTGCACTGAGGAGGTAAGTGCCTACAGAGACGTGCATACCAAACTGGGGCTGGTCAGCAGGAACTGCTGAGGAACAGTCCAGGTGGAACCACTGTGGCCTTGAGCTCTCAGTGCACGGCAGTGGGTCTCACAGGGATCACACTGATGTGCGCATCTAGAGCATTTCTCCCACCTGGTCACTGTCAGTGAGACAGACTGTGGCAAAACAGTTCTGCAGACATGTCTGGGACTTGGCAAGCAGAAGTAAATTTTCCGAGGACCATAGTGGCCTCCATGAAGGTCTGCAGAGATTTTTAGCATCTAGATTTTGAACCTGATTAGCAGTTGGATGGTATTTAAGAGGCATCACAATCCCTTTGTAGATCCAGGCCCGTATTTGTGCAGTACCGTGCACAGCAGGGCCTGCTGCATGCATGTATTTAGCTACAGCAGCATCTTCCTCAAGACCACATCCAAGCTCTGGATACACCATAAGCCTAAGAAGACAGCAGGAATGCTCTTCTGAGAAAGCAGTGCACTTCCACAAGCTGCCATCCATCCTGCTCCTGCACCCGTAGCAGCACGCAGAGACTCCCACCCATCTTCAGGGCTTTTGAGCACAGCCTTGCGTTTGCCTCTGCAGGAGGAGTGTGGTGGGTTGACCCTGGCTGGATGCCAGGTGCCCACCAAAGCCACTCTATCACTCCCCTCCTCAGCTGGACAGGGGAGAGAAAATACAATCAAAGGCTAGTGGGTCAAGATAAGGGCAGGGAGATCACTCAGCAATTGCTGTCACAGGCAAAACAGACTTGATTTGGGGAAAAAATAATTGAATTTATTACCAATAAAATCAGAGTAGGATAATGAGAAATAAAACCAAATCTTAAAAAAAACACCTTCCCCCCACTTCCATTCTTCTCAGGCTGAACTTCATTCCTGAATTCTCCACCTCCTCCTCCACAGCAGTTCAGGGGGACAGAGAATGAGGATTGTGGTCAGATCATCACACCTTGTCTCTGCCGCTCCTTCCTCCTCAGGGTCCTCACACTCCTCCCTTGCTCCAGTGTGGGGTCCCTCCCATGGGAGATAGTCCTCCACGAACCGCTCCCAAGTGGATCCTTCCCACAGGCTGCAGCTCTTCATAAACTCCCCCAGTAGTGAGTCCCTTCCACGGGGTGCAGTCCTTCAGGAACAGACTGCTCTAGTGTGGGTCCCCCACGGGGTCATAAGTCCTGCGAGCAAACCTGCTCCAGCGTGGGCTCCTTTTTCCACGGGGCCACAGGTCCTGCCAAGAGCCTGCTCCAGTGTGGTCATGAGGTCACAGCCTCCTTTGGGCATCCATCTGCTCTGGTGTAAGGTCCCCCATGGGCTGCAGGTGGGTATCTGCTCCACCCTGGGCCTCCATGGGCTGCAGGGGCACAGCCTGCCTCCCTATGGTCTTCCCCATGGGCTTCAAGGGAGCACCTCCTCTCCCTCCTTCTTCACTGACCTTGGTGTCTGCAGAGTTGCTTCTCTCACATATTCTCACTCCTCTCTCCAGATGCATTTGCTTAGGGTTTTTCCCCCTTCTTGAATACACTAACCCAGAGGCGCTACTGCTGTCGCTGATGGGCTCGGCCTTGGCCAGCAGCAGGTCCATCTTGGAGCCATCTGGCATTGGCTCTGTTGGACACAGGAGAAGCTTCTGGCAACTTCTCAAAGAAGCCACCGCTGTAGCCCCCCCACTACCAAAACCTTGCTGCGCAAACTGAATACAAGGACAAAAAATTACCAACTCAGCTTTGGTAGAGAAAGGGTAATCGCAAAGTCCATGAGACAAGCTGATTACTGTGACTGGCCCTGATAGAGATTTTGACTGGCTTTGATAAGCCAGCCTCACTGAATTACAGCAGAGCATGCTGACAGTGACACCGTCCCCCTTCCACACGCACAGCTCCAGCCTGTTGCGCCCGCACTGTCCATCAGTGGCTGTGCTGGGTACAGGCACCCTGCAGCCAGCCCTGTGGAGCAGGACCAGGCTCATGGCACCACCAGTTCCAATTTAATTGACTGTTGCCCCCAGCAGTGAAGCTGAAACACGGTTAACCCAGCACTTTTAGATGACTCCTAGATGTTTACAACACCTACATGGCACATTCAGACACACAACTATGTACTTAATGTTTAAAAAGATGCCAGCAAGCATTTGCTCGCTCCTATTTGTGTCTTGGTGGTGTCCATCCAAGTTTTAGGGTGTTTGCAAGGAAGATTTACTTGGGGAGAAATTCCAATTAGTCAGCACTGGCACGTCTCTCAGGAACCCAGAGACTTTGGTAAGATTTTTCATTCCAATGACACAACTCCATCTTGCTCCCTGTTCTGGCTCCCTTTCAGTTGCTTATAAACTATAAGCAGCCTTGCAGTGTTCTGCTCCCTCTGTCCTCTTCTGTTGAATAGTTGTGGAGTATGGTAAGGTATAATAAGCAAATTAACTTATAGAGTGTTGTTTTTAAGGAGGTGGTTTGTTAATTCTGGTTCTTTCAGTTGACGTAGTAAGTCATGCTACATCTCTCTACCAGTCCTGCCTGTCTTACATACAGTATTTTAATGCAATCCTTCTCTGTCTGAAATCATTCTATGAACTTATACCTTGGTTTCAGCCACACTTCTTTCTACTCTCTATAATTATTTAAGACATCGAGTAAACAAACATTAAAAACAATACCAAGAGAAATAATTTCTATGTGATATTCCTCCTTCTCAGTAACATGTGGTTTGTGTTTTTTTAAACAAGGTAGACTGTGTAGCAAAAAGCACTGTATCTGTGTTGGTAACACACATTTTGATATGCAGTATAATCAGCAGGGAAACAACACAAGCTTGCTGATAGGCAGTGCCCTGTTGGTAGCCAGTTAGCCTTTCTTTGCTCAGTTATCTCAAGAAGTCATGCATGGTGATCAAGGAGAGCCTGGAAAATTATTTGAATACTTATCTATTGCCTTAATGCCTTTAAATACCCAATAGCTCTTCAGCATAGCCATATTTTTTATATTTAACTTGGGCCTCTGCAAGATCTAGGCTCAGTGCTCAGAGTAAGACACTTCAGAAAGGCTCCACAGTCCAACAGCCCAGATCAGGGCAGACACAAGGCTGCCATCAGCCCTGCGTCTGGCTCTTGCTCTAGAAAGCATTTGTAATTAAGATTATTTGTTGTCACACAAAGCTGTTGACATTGAGGTAGGGCCCAGGGTGCTGCCATCCCAAACAGCCATGTCATGGTAGGCACGGTGCTAACAGAGGAGACACAGTCTCTGCCAGGAGAGCTTCACAGAGCAATCAGGTTGTGCCAGAAGAGGAAGGCAGCAGTTGGCTGTGGTACTTTCCACTGGCTCTCCCCCGTGCCAAGGGTCTGCGTGCCCAGCACATTCTGGGCAGCACGCCCCACCCCAGCTTCCAGACTGCAAGAGACACTCTCCGTGTACGAATGTTTAATTTAGCCTTGATTCAGGAAATCAACACCCATCCAAAGTCTATTTACTGCTGAAATTTCCACACTTGACTGAACACTTATCACAGATTAAAAAAAAAAAAAAAAAAAACCAACCAAAAACCAAACACAAAAAAACCCAACAAACAGAAGAACACTGCCAACTCAGTATTTGTCCCTCTCTCCTGTTCCTTTCCTATCTGCTCTTGAAGATAAAATACTATGTCTACGTTCTTTTCTTTTTTCATGTTCCTGCACAAAACACTCAGTTTGGCTCCCTTGGCTCCCAGATAACCAGCAGTTACCTCACTGCAAGGCCAAAGTCTAAGGTTCGGTCTGGAGCTGCTATGAAGCTTTATTAAACCCAAAATACAGAATGTTCAGTGTAAAGCTGGAAAGCCCTTGAGAGAAGAGGCCTGAGGTTATATGTCTTGTACATCAGTGAAACTGCTTCTACTTTTTACTTTTCTGTGGTTAGTCACGAATTTGAGGGATGATAAAACAGTGAGTATAATAGAGAGAGGAAGAAACAGTTTGAACTCTGGACTCAAATGTGAAGTTCTTAATACAGACAGTAGGAAGATGAGACTGTAAAACTTACCTATCAGTGGAAACATTTACCCTGCCTTTCCTGTGGAAATCCTACTACAATCATCAGGAGCAATCACTGTGTTTCCCTTCTCCCTGCTCCTCATTCAGCACCTGGAGCTGAGGTAATGAGAAGGCACATGAATGGCAACAAGACCACGTTGAAACACCAAGAAGACCCTTTGAAGAAAGCTTGGACAAGAGGTTGGGCTGAACAGGGAAGAGTGGGTGAAGACCCGGTGGGGCCAGCCCAAATGTTGCTGCCTGGAAGCTAGTGGTGGGAATC